CAGGGAGCCCGATGTGGGACTCGATCCCAGGACCCCGGGATCATGACCTGAGCCGAAGGCAGACGCTTAACGACTGAGCCACCCAGGCGCCCGATGTTATCATCAGTTTTAAAAACAGCTTTCTTGCTACTTATTTTAGCCCACTTGGTAGAGTGTTAACCTTCCAGAAGGAAGGAATTGTGTTCTGCTCATACATGAATACAATGAAAGTGCTAAAACTGTGCCTTGTAATATAATAGGTGCTCAATAAATACTGTGACGATAAGGCTTCAGACCTCCAAGATGAACAAATTATAAATTACAGCAAAATTTATATATGGAGTACATATTTAAAATGATGTTTTAAGTAGTTTCAAAACACCCATCTTCCACTGAACTGCTGAAACGCTAAAGCTTTTAAAGCAACACAAAAAGTATATTCACTAGGAACTTTCCCTCTACTCCATTTGATTTGCTCTTAGTATCCAGTGGCCTAAAATTCTTGTCTATAATACAAGACAGATCATTTAAAATACAATTTCCATGTTTAGAAAACTCTTGTCACATCAAAAAAAACTAACATTCTTCCTTTATATCTGCATTTTAAAAAATCTATTGCCACAGTCAACATAAAAAAAAAAAAAACCCTAATGAAAGGCCAAGAGACACAATTACTACATTTCCTGGTTTCTGCCTGGGAAATTACTTCAGAACACGCCTACAAGTATCCCCAGTAAAAGTCTGCTGGTTACAAGCTGCTATTCCCTTTTTTATTTCCATTCTCCCCCTAAGACCTCTCATACATTCACAGAGAAAAGAATGCAGATGTCTATAATAAAGGCTGTACAAAAAAATACAGCTACATATTAATTTTGTTTTGAAGGACTAAAATCTTACAAAAGCAGATGAAAGTCTTGATCTGAAGCAATACTCCCAGGTAACTTAAACTATAACTATTTACTTAAAGCAAAAAAGTAGATTATTTGGTCCCGAACTTCATGATAAGTAATTCAGTAACAATGTGTAGATAATATGTGCTATTCTAGAAAAATTCATTGATCAGTTAAAAATGGACCACATTTCGGGGCGCCTCGGTGGCTCAGATGGTTAAGCGTCTGCCTTCAGCTCAGGTCATGATCCCAGGGTTCTGGGATCGAGCCCCACATCAGGCTCCTGGCTCAGCGGGGAGCCTGCTTCTCCCTCTCTGTCTGCCTCTGCTCATGCTCTCTCTTTCTTTCTGTATCTCTGTGTCTCAAATGAATAAATAAAATTTAAAAAAAAAATGGACCACATTTCAAACAATGGTGATTTTGTGGGGGGAAAAAAAAGAGAGCTTAAACTATTTACTCAGTAAACAGAGATTTAAGACTTTATCTAAAACACTGGAGGTGAATCAGTAGCTTCAGGGTAAAGGTTTACAGAGTACCTACTATGTGTCTGGCATTTAGCAGTTGCTTTACAGAATAAGCTTGCAGCTGGTGCACAAATTACAATACCTAACATTTACAGACTACTCTCACTCATCTCCTTTGACCCTCAGAATACCCCTAGGCGCGAACATCCCAGATTTACAGCTAAGGAAAACAGAGGCCCAGAAAAGTCGATTTGACCGAGGTATCACATCTGTTCTGTGGGTCCTGGCCGAAACTCCAGCCCTTGACTCATCATCTAATCATCATCTGCTATACTAGTTACTCAAAAGTTCTTAGATGTTCCATTGTCCGATTTTAACATCAAAATCCTACTGGACGACTTTCAATGTTGTGCTTGTCAGATTCTGTTAAGAATCAAAACACACAAAAGGCAAGAATGTTTAAAAGTCCATCGTCTGAAAAAAAAAAAAAAAAAAAAAAGTCCATCGTCTGAGCCTGACGGCGTTCAAGCTCCCCGGTCAACCCCGGCAGGCGACAGCCCCGCGTTTCCATCGGGACGGGGCGCTCCCTCTCCCTGCCCTAGGACTGCCGAGCGCCGAACGCCCCCGGTCCCCGAGGTGAGCGGCGGGGACATGGCCCGCCGGGCTCCGCCACAGCCGCCGCGGCCCACGATCGGGGCTCCCAAGGCCCGTCGTCGCGGGGCGCGGGGTGCGACACTCGCGCGTCGCTCGGGGCCGGGGCCGACACCTCCGCCGGCCCGCTCTCGCACTGCCAGTCCGGCTCCCGACGCCCAGCATCTGACATCCACCGCCGCGAGCGACCGAGGCCACCGCCTCAGAGCCCGCCCCAGATCGCCCCGTGCCTACCTGCCCTCGATCTCCACGCCGCCCCCGCGGCCAGGCTGCGAAGCTCTCCTCCTCTCGGCGGAGGCGCCAGGACTCCGCTCTCCCGCTCGGGGTTGGCTCCGTCCGGTCCCCGCAGGCCCCGCGAAGGCCCCGCCCCGCCCGGCCGCGGTCCCACCCCGCCCGGGAATGCCCGGTTCTTATTGGCTCCTCTACCCACTCCTCACGCTATGGCCCGCCCCCGGCCCCGCCCGAAAACCGTCGAAAGGAGAACCGCCCCCGTTCGAGTCCGCCTCTGGGCCAGAACCTTGTCCCGGACTCTGATCCCCCGGACGCCGGCCAAGGCCTCTAGCCAAAGCTCCATTGCAGTCGCCGTGCCTGCGGTCCTACTGGCCCTACGGCGATGGACCTGAACTTTACATGAAGGTTGACTCTTCACAGCCACCTAGTTTAGTCGAGGAATCCAAATGGCACCTCACTCAAGGAAACCATAAAATTCTCTCTTGCCACTGCAATTGCAGTCCAGTGCCAACTTGAAACGTAGACAGATGCAAATAACGCTCCGAACACCTGAGGTTTGAAGTCCCAGAGCAGGGTGCCTTTGATACTCCCAGTGCCTGAGGTCGGCCCCCACGCCCTGTTGTGACACACATGCCTGAGCACTACGCCTGCAACACGCTCGTACTCGGGTATGGGCATGGCGCTGTGCCTACTGCGAGCGGCAGCCCAGTTTCACTAAGGCTGCCAGTCGGGATGAGTTGAGCCTGTTTCCCAGGCACTGGCTAACCACCTCACCCCACCTCGTCCCGCCCCATTCCACCCCACCGCACCCAACCCCACCCCACCAGAGCCTCTTGGGTCTGATGACCAAAATCCTCCCACATCTGTTCACAGAGAGGTACCAAAATAGAAGACTGCCAGAGAGAGAGGTGTTTGGTTACACATCACAGATGACTGTCACAAGCCAATTTAGCCAAAGCAGTAAAAGCTGCATATCCCACACCGTTGTGAAACCATGAGCTGTGGACAATCAAACAGGAATTACCTTCTATGGTGGAAAAAAAAAAAAAAAAGTAATGACAAGACATTTTAAAAATCGTGTCTTGATGAGGAAATAAATGTCAATATTGTTTGCCTAAATTTTGAACAGTGATCTTCATGGACTACCCCCTTCACCCTCCCCAAATCTTTCCGTATTTAGAAAATTTCCCAAATAGTTGTCTAAGATGAAATTTTAAGCTAGAATAGTATGATTTTAAAACTTATTTCAAAATGCAAATTGATGTCAAAGTCCAAACTTTGCATTCAGGAAGATTATTTGGCAAAATGAGGCCGATTGAATTCCAAGTACCAAATATGAAATCAAATCTGGCATGGGTTCTATGGCTGTAATAAAGGAATTAACATGTATGTATTCTACTGCCCTCTCATGGGTAAGATGGAGATATAACTAATGGTAGTTAATGCCTTTTAAGTCTGAGAATAGAAAGTTTAATTTAGCAATCTGTATTATTTTGATGACATGGAGGACAAGGTAAAATAAAATCAGGTTCTCCAAGGGACTTACAAATAGTCAGCAAACAGAAGTTCAACTTCAGAAACCAGGGAGAGGATTCTTACACGAGGACTAGTATAAACATGCTGTCAGGATCACACCCATGCTTACAGCTACCTGTATAGAATGTGGAAACATGCAGGAATTTGCCTTTAATTTTTTTTTTCCATTTGAAAAGTCATTACTTTCTGAGATGTTTCACAAAATGTTCTTTTTCACATTTGTATGCACCCATCTTATCATTTCACACTGTGAACAACTTGAGAGTAGGAATGAAATCTTATTCTTTATACCTTTGCTGTCTAAATAGCACCCTATACTTGAGCTGTTTGATCAATAATTGTTTAATAAATTAAATAACTATCAGCCCAGCCACTAGATGGCAACACAGTTGTATGTGTAGAAGTATGGTCTAGCTAATTGGAATTCTACCTGGCAGGCCTTGAGTAACAGGCAGGTTTCTAAAAAGGTACATGTGTATCTTATTTTGGTAAGTGAAGTTATTTAAAATGTACAAGGACAGCTGACTATAACTTTATTGCCAAGTATGTCCTTACAACTAAGAATCCTTTTGCAAGATAAATTCTCCCTAAGTGTAATAGCTCATAAGTATGGATTTTCTATATTGGGCAGCACCTGTTTTTGTCTAAGAACGCCAGTCTTCTGTTGTATCCTGTCAAAAGGATGTTTCAATGGTCCAAGTGCCTCAAGCAAATTGCATTCTATAAACCCAAAGCCTACAGTCTCCCAATCGCAAGTCATTTGCTCAAATTTTTGTCCCGCCTCAAGTTATTATTAGTTATTAATAGTTTTTAAGGTGGGGCAAAAATATGAGCAAATGTGAGCAAATGTTTTGCCTGAAAGTCAGGGAGACTCTGGAGTCAGACAAGCCTTTATCCCATTGCTACCACTCAACAGATGTGTCCTTGTGCAGGTTATTAACTTCACTAACTTCAGTTTACTCATCTTCCCCCAAATGAAGGTAATATTATCTACTTCATAAAGTGAAAATGATTAAGTGAAATAATGTCAGTGGAATAATATCTAGTATAATCATTGGCTTATAGTAGAGATTCAATAACTGGTAACTATTATTATTCATATTCTCCAATGAAAATCTCACCCATATTATTATTTGGTTTATTTAATTTAGTCTCCTGATTTAAGGCCTTCAGCAATTAAATTAAGTTCATAACACCAGGTTTCATAGCGATAGGCCATGCGGATTTGGGCAACATTTGTCTTCCTGATATCATTTCCAATAGGGCCATCTTCAAGGTAATTGTTGCCTAGGAACCTTGCTTTCTCCTGTAAGAGAAAAGGAAGCAGAATGATTGTTGTCTTTTTATCCTGAAATAGACTATAATTACATCTTCCACAAAGATTCCTTCCTTATCTTACTGACAAAAGGAAAAAATAAACCATTAAAAGCACTCATCCAGTGCCTCAATGTCCATGGTCTGCTGAGAAGTCAAGTGTCTATTTTTTGCCTTGCCAAAGGCATAGCCAGAGAGATAGAAGACTTCTTTCTAGTCCCTGTCCATAGTAACGGCATATGATTTGTGGGATAATTTTTCTACGTGTGTTTCCTCAACTATCTTTTCAGTACTCAGTTACCAGGTCCTATATGCAGAGGGGCAACCAGTCAAGGACAGGTCTACCTCATGAGAAATTCCACATTGCAGAACACTGTTTCTTGCCACTTCACACATATCACAGGTACTCAGCTTGAACACTTGTGCAGCAATGGCATATTCTTCCATTAGGGGCTCCTTGGATTATTTATTTAAATGAGGCAAAAAAGAAAGAAGAAAAAAAAAAGAGTGTATTAAAAAAAATAATAACATGCACCCAGCAGAAAAAGTACAGTGAAATCCCTTGATTTGACTTTTAAATTCTAGTTGGGCAACAGGGTCACCTGGGTGGCTCAGTCAGTTAAGTGTCTGCCTTTGGCTCAGCTCAGGATCCCGGATTCCCAGGATGGAGCCCCATGGGGGGCTCCCTGCTCAGCAGGAAGTCTGCTTCTCCCTCTTCCTCAGCTACTCCCTCTCACTCTGCTCTTCTCCCTGCTCATGTTCTCTCTCTCTCTCTCACTGGCTCAGTCTCTCTCAAATAAATAAATAAATAAATAAAATTCTGGATGGGCAACAACAGTCCCGCCAAATATGCTTGTATCACTCAAGATTCCATATACGTACCTTGGTGAAGTGGAATTGCATTGGGTCATCTGTCGACAGTGAGATCATTAGTCCCTTTTGGAGGAAATCTAAAAAAGGATTTTTGGCATATTCTAGAAATAAGCTGTTGTTACTTAATGGCGACATAGCGATGGGAATCTGGGCTAAGAAAAACAAGTACTGTAACACAGGACTCTGAAAAGAAAAAGTGAAAAACAGTATTTAAGGGTGTTGAAAAAGGGCTACAAACTAGAAGTGTTAAAACTCCATGATCTACCTCAAGTTTTAGCTTTCAACAAGATGATCATGTGTTCTTTAAATCCCTTAGTAAAGAAGAATAATAGTGTTTAAATGTAAATACTATTTAGAATAAATTTATTTGGGATCATCAATTTTCAGAAGCATTGAGTCAAACCAAATGTTTGAGTTTTAATTGCCTAAGTTAGATGGTCTGTCTCAGAGAAGAGACTTCACCTTGAAATAGTTGGGTTTTTGTGTTTTTTTTCTATGAGAAAGTTCTGACTCTCACAAGAGGCGTTTGAAAACATGCCATAACAAGAAATCTGGTGAAAACCAGTTTAAGGTAAGCCAAGCGCCTCTGAATTATCCCTTGTCAGAATTCTAAAATGGAAGCCCGAAGACGTGCATTCATTCATCCCTGCCACTAACTGGCTAGGTAATCTTGAGCAGCTCCTTTGACTTCTCTGGCCTCTGTAAAATGAACTGCACTTCATAACCTCAAAAATCTTTTTTGCTCTGCTTTCATTTGATGCCAGTGTTGATAATGACTTGTGACAAAATGATACGGAAAAAAAAATTACTCCTCTAGCTCCAATATAAAAAATACTCGAAAGAGAACCTCCAACTTACCTTTTTTAAATTCAGGCCATGAGAGATACTATCTGCGGTCATGAATGCGGTCATGAGGTGGGTGAGAGCCCCAGCTTCCCCACAGTGAGGTCGGAACAGGAACGTATTCATGCCTCGTTCCCTAGGGAAAGGGAATTGCCATATAATCACAGGTGGCTGACTGGGACCTGGCAGCAATTCTGGGCATGGAGTGATTTACAAGAAAATCAGGTAGAAAAAAAAATTAACGCTCTGTAAGGGAGTGGAGGCATCTAAAGGATTCAGTAAGACTGGCAAGTCCAAATCATAATCTGAATTCTTCCTGAACCCAGACTTCTGAAAAAAGAGGCAGCAAAGGATAAGAGGGTATGGAGGAAAAGTCAAGATCTGATTACCTTCAGTTTCAACAGGAAATTTACCAATATCACCATGTTCTCATTTCTCCTGCTCACGCTTTTGAGGGGGAAATGTTTCCAGAAAACGCTGTCATAATATTCCTCTGTTCCTTACCCAAGTATATCAAG